GAGACTGTCTGAGAATAGGATTGCTACCCCTGCTTTTTTTCTGAGGTGCTGGGTTGTGTATTACTGTTTTTCATACTTGAATTTCAGACAATGAATTTCTTTATGAGTTAAGAGTGTTTCTTGTATACAGCATATTGTTGGATTTTGTTTCCTAATCCACTGTGACAGTCTTTTTGTCTTAATTGTGAATCGAGTCCATTTACATTGATGGTTATAATTGAGATGTGTTGGCTTATGATTGACATGTTATTTACCTGTTGTAGTTTAATCCTTTTTCTCCTGTGTTTAATTGTTTGCCCTAGTTAGTTGGTTCCTTCTGTTCTCATTTGTGGAGCTCTGATCATTTTGGTCCCTCACAGGAACATCTTTCAGTAGTGTGTGTAGTGTTGGCTTTGTCATTATGAAATTCTTTAGTTGTTCTTTGCCATGGAAGTATTTCACTTCTCCATCAAACTTGAATGAGAGTTTTCAGGGTATAGTAGTCTTGGGTGGAATTTGTTTCCATAGAGGACTTGAAGTACTCTGCTCCATGGTCTTCTTGGCTTCATGGTTTGTGAAGAAAATTCTGCTGTTATTCTAATAGGTTTTCCTTTAAGTATGATCTGTTCTTTTCTCTAGCGGTTTTCAGTATATTATTATTGTGCTCAATTTCTGGGTCTTGATTATTATATATTTGGGTGTGTTTTTAATTGGATTGATGTTGTTTGGAGTTCTTTATCCTTCAGTTACCTGAATGTTGACTTTTCCCCTATATTTGGGAAGTTTTCTGCTATGACTTCTGCCCATATTTTTTTGCATCATTTGCATTGACTCCTTCTTTCCCATCGATGCCTATTAGTCTCACATTGTTCATCTTTGCATTGGTTGGCAGGTGATGAATTATTTTTTCCTACATCTGAGTTGTTTTTAAGAGATCTTTTCTTACCTTTTCACTAGATGCAACAGCGTCTTCAAGATCTGATACTCTATCTTCAGTTTCACTCAGTTTTACAAGCTTCTAATTGAGCTTTTAAGTTTCTCTATATCTCTTGGACTCTGCTTCATGTGATATATTTCTTTCCTATGTTGCTCATTCAAGGATTCCATTGTTTTTCTAATCTCTATTTTTATCAGTGTCTTCTTGAGAAGCAGTTATTAATTCCTTAGTTATAGTTATCCTTTCCTTTTTTACTTCAGAGATTATTTTTGATCTGATTTCCTCTATATGTTTCTGCATTTGATTCTTTACTTCATATGCTATTAATTCAGAGGGTTTTTTATTTCAGAGGTTATTTTTTATCTGAGTTCCTCTATCCCTTTCTGCAGTTGTTTCTTTACTTCAGGCACTATTAAGTCAGACATTTCAGCTGTGTGATTCCCAATTTCTTCTGTGCTAGTCTTCTGTACTTGTTCTAGGTGGGCTCAGGGCCTCAGATTACATTTTGCTCCTTCTCGTTGTCATTTTGTATGGCACTGTCCTCTGACCTTTGGTGTAGAGCTTTGGTGCAATTATAATCTTAGCACCTACTGGAATTTGGGTGCAGATCTACAAAGTTTGAATTCATCCAATTGTGCCTGGCTTGGGTCTGGCTGCTCTGCTCAGATTCTTCCTGCTGTAGCCCTTGGAAATGAACCTGTTGTGCCCCTCTGACAAGATGTTCTGCTCCTGGATTAGCTGCATGGTTCTGGCCTCTAGCTTCTCTGTAGGGACTTCAGCTGCAGAGTTTAACCCCAGGCCTGTATTCCAGGCATGGGCTGGGTCTGGAGGGGTCCAGAAAGGAGGACAGAAGGACTCACTCACAATTGGGCCTGGGCTGTGTCAGGAGGGATCCAGCAGACAAAGAGGAGTAGGAAGCTCTCCCACGCACTCTCTGCAGAGCCTGGGCTTGACTGGGTCTGAAGCTGTTCTTAGAGTGTGGCAGAAATTCTTACTCACATGATGGACCTGAGCTGTGTCCAGAGGGCTCCAGTAGGCACTGGGGAGTGCAGAAGCTCTCCCACACACTCCCTGGGCCAGGGCTTGGGCTGTGTCTGGAGGGTCTTGGGAGCATGATGGAAGTTCTCACTCACAGGCAGGTCCTGGGCTGGGTGCACCAGAGGGGTGCAGGGGGTACAGGGGAGTTCAGAAGCTGTCCCACACACTCATGGACCTGGGCTTAGGTTGGGTTTGGTGGGGTCTGAGAGAGCAGCAGAAGTTTTCACTTACATGCTGGGCTTGGGCTGGGTCCAGAGGAGTCCATTGGGTACAGAGGAGCATGGAAACTCTCCCACAATACCAGGCCTGGACTTCGCTGGGTCTCTGTATTTTTAAATTATATA